GTGTATATTGTACATGCTGCTTTCAAAGTAAGCAATGTTAACTGGGATACATGCTTATAATTCTACCACGGAGCAACGAGAAAGCATCAGGCAGTTTTTCTGGTCTAATACTGCCATCTAGGGGGTGAGACAACAATTACACCAGTATTTACTTCCTCCTGGTGATGGTTCTCTTGCCACTGAATATTTGACAGGCATGGCCTGAAAATGTCCCTTTAACGATGGAACTAGATGCTTCCAAAGCACACAGTCATAACAGAGATTATTACCATTTTTCCTTGCTTAGCATGTTGTTTTATTGCCCTACTTTTGCAGGTGCGTAGATGTATAGCTATGCACATTGGTAAAGTGTTACATTTTGTTCACCTTGTTAGTGCAACACTTATGGTTTCTCATACTGAAAGCATTGGTACTCATACTGAAAGCATAAAGTTTTGTTCTGAAAAAAACATTAGTCAAGTATTCCTAAAATCTCTGTTTCTGCAAATTGTATTATCTTTAACCTGTATTCTCCTCTATTAATACAGCACAGTGGTGCAGTGGTTAATAATAATAATAATTACTTACACTTTTATAGTGTTTTTCTGGACACTCCACTCAAAGCGCTTTACAGGTAATGGGGACTCCCCTCCACCACCACCAATGTGCAGCCCCACCTGGTCAGCATTGATGCTAAAGCGTTTGGTAAGTGCTCTTCTCTTCTGAGGAGTGAGGGTTACAGAAATAACGTATTTAAAACAGGAGCCACCCGTTGGGGTAGTATCCTAATGCAGCTGCATGGTAGGCCCAGTGGGAACTTCGGTGAAAAGAGCTTGGCATAAAGAATGGCAAGCTGGGAGTTAGGCCATCATCAACAATCCAATGGGAAAGCCACTGCTTTCAGTTGTATGATTTAACTGGAAATCCCCAGCAGCTTAAAATGGCTGGCAATCATTGGGACCTAACGGTGTTTTCATATTCATACTTAAGCACATGAGGGCTGTTATTCGCTAACATTTAAGGAGACTGTTTCATCTGCCGCTAAGCACAGGCTCTGTACCTACAGACAGGAGATTCACAACAGTAATACCAATTCATTAAAAAACAGGACAACGATGAATCAGGAAACTATAGACCAACCATTCTTCAATTTTTACAGATTTGTGCGTCCTATTGTAGAACATTTCGTTTGGCTTTGGTCACCACAAAGCTAAGGTATGCGTATATGTGATCTGACAACTGGAATCAATTTCCTGTCGTTAAACTCTGTTTATTTTTACATTATTTTACAGCACAAAAATTATATTATAGTCTTAGAAAATATGAAAAAAAACAGGAATGATACCTGGTGAATCACCATATACTAAAAGTTAAAGGAATTACAGTTATCAACAGCTACAGTATATACTGTACGTCTTGAAGCACTCTGTAGCAAACTGTTATAAAGAGTACTACGATTAATTGATTGATTTGGTAAGTTGGTTGGTTGGTAAGAAACCAACAAAAACAAAAGAATTTAAATAGTTTTAGTTAGTTTAGTTAAGGTTATAAAGTGAACAATGTGTTTGAAACCGATGTGAACTTTTCAAGTGATGTTGAAAATAATGTGATTAAATGATATGTTTTATAATCTAATCAACAATACATGTTTTATACTACCTGCCTTTCAAAGAAAATAATATACAGTATATATATATATCTTTTTTTAACTGCCTCCAGTGAGGTTTAAGTGTAAAAAACAGGAACTGACCTATTGTCTATTTGGAAAAAAACTACTACGTAATAAGTAACTAGAGCTAGCTGATAAATGATCAGATATGTGTGGGTGTGTGCTCTAGAAAAGTGTGTAAAAGAATTCAAGAAGCAAGTCTTACCTGGAACAACTGTTCAGCTAGTTTTCCTGGTAAGGAAAGCAGTTGTCTTTTACACAACCCTCCACATACTTAATATAATTTTGTAAGTTACACATGTATATTCAATTCTGTATGTTTTGAAAGAAATTTATCAATTTCAGGAAATTATCCCCACTAAACTTAATTTCTTGGTCAAGTGACCTATTTCATCATTATTCTCTTGACTTTGAGCTAATATGAGTGAATTTCAGTTAAAATAATAATGAGGTGTAAGATATATAATTTGATGATTGAATTGACTGTATATGTCAAATCTAATTATATACTGATTTAGTGACTGTATATTAATATACAGTCACTGTATATTAATTATTGAAAAGAAGTCCATCTATATTTTAATTACTCATATATGTCTTATTCTGTTTATGAACTGCTGTATTTGTGACATATAATTGTGTAAATAATTTTGGGTGTTATCTCAACACTTAATATATTTGGGACCATACATTTTGCAACTTGATTTAATGATATTTCCTTCAGCTGGATTTTCTTGAAGGTGTTAAGCACTCTTGAAAAGTAATTTATCAAATAAATTGTAAAAACACATTATTCTCTTCACTGAAGATTTAGCAAATTTATATTTATTACCTGTGAGATCTAACAGGATGAGATGACCTCACCTTATGTAATCCTTCAAACACGTGCTTATTTTATTGCCACTGTGTTGTGCAACAGAGCAACTGAATTCCACACTGGCGTGTAATATAGTGCAGTGGTGAAAACATTATGCATCACTATAATGAATGACATGAAATTTAATTTTTCTTAGTATAACTTAGTATAACAAAAGATACTAAAACTTGATAGAACAGAAGTAAAACACAGTAGCACTTAATGTCTAGATATTTGAACTTCATGATGAAACCATGTACAAGAGGCATTGTCATAATGTTATATTATGTGCCTTCACTAAAAAAAGGGTGGGTTTTTTTTCGACATGATAAGCTAAACACACAGTAAGAACATGGACATGACTCATCAGCTTTCCATGTTTCTTGAACTTAACCCCACTGAACACAAGACGATGAGTACACCATGAGTATAGTGAAAAGCAGGGAAACTGAATTTTCAATCCATTTCAGTTTAATAATATTCATCTTCAACATCTGGAAAGTGATTTCCTACGAATGTTTGAGAGTTTTTGCCTAAAAACAAAAGAAAGGATGCAGAAGATGAACGCAGTTAATCTTGCTTGTTTGTTATAGCTTAATATCCAAGTCAAAATACAATTTCTTCCAGCTATTTCTTAAATGGTCCTAGAATTTGGACTGGAAATTTCCACCTGACTGGAAATCCAAACATCTTTTTGTAAAGATGACATATTCATATTTTCTGTCCTAAATGAATCTCCTTGAAGTTACGGATTAATCTGTTTCATTAGTAGTGTGAAATAGACTCCTGAGTTAACCTTTTCTATACTTCCATGGATCTTATATACTTCAGTCAACTCTTGTCTCACTCTTTTTGGCTCTAGACAGAAGAGATGCAGCTCTTTCAATCTGTCATTATATGACAGTCCAAGAATCATTTTTGTTACCCTGCGCAGAACATTTTCTAAGGCTCTATTATCTTTCTGTTGTATGGTGACCAAACCTGACCAAACCTGAACGCAGTGAGGTCCTACTGGTGCACCAGAAAGCTTAAAATGGCATCCTTGGATTTAAATCTCACAATGTTTGCTCTACACCCAAGCATTCTGTTTACATTTTTATTTTACTTCTCTATCTTGTCTTGATGAGAACTTGAAGAATCCATGTAAAAACACAAAAAATTCTTCCCGTGTGTAGCTTTCTTTATCTCGGAATCATCCATATGATAGGTATACAGTGCCAGTGTGTATCACTTTGTGCTAATTGATATCGAATTTCATTTGTCGTGTGTCTGTTCACTACATGTCTTTTTCTGAGTCTTTTTTAAATTCTGCCGGCCACTCCCCCTGTTTTAGTAACTAGTTTGCTACCTACTGTACATCTGAATGCAAATTGGTGGGGTAGATCAGGAAACACCGTGGGTCTGAGACAGATCCCTGCAGCACACCAGTGCTTACATCTTACATCTGTCTTACTCGGCTGTCATCTTAAGCAGCCCAGCTTCTAAATCAGTGGTTCCCAGTCCTGGTCCAGGTGCCCCACACACCTGCTGGTTTTTAGTCCAGCCCACCATCATTCGATCATTGAAGCCTCTGCTGATCTAAGACATTGCTTCGCTTTAATATTTGCATTTTGTTTCCGGTCACAAGTTTGGGACTTTATTTCACTTACAACATGCAATGGTTAAAGCTCCAACATGTTTAAGAGCTGGGAGCAGTGCTAATTAACCTTATTATCAAGTCAATGGAGGGTTTGATTGCGGAACTGAGGGCTCTGCTGGAACAAAAGCCAACGGATGTCTGGGTCACCAGGATTGGGAACCACTGATTTGGAATTTCAATTCAATTCAATTCAATTTATTTTTATATAGCGCCTTTCACAACAAGGTTGCCCCAAGGTGCTTAACAATGCAAGTAACCATGCAGTTTATGAATACAGAACAGAAAAGACCAGAAGACAACGGAGGAGAGGAACCAAAAACTCCTTAGTAAGGAGAAAAAAAAACTCTAGGGGTCCAAGATCAAATGGCTGCCCAACCCCTTTGGGCATGCTAACATTATATCATTTAAAAAAAAGGAAATAAATGAATGAGGGTATTAATCTATCCATCCATCATATCAGTACTCCATGCAGATCTCTGTAGACCACTAAATTGCTCCTAAACGATAGCTATATCCATGATGTCCCTCTTGGATCCATGTCAGTGATGCAGCATCCAACTCAGATGGTGCCCAGCCTGGACATCTTCCAGACATGTGGGGAGGAGAACAGGATATGACAACTGAGTCCTGTTCATTAACCATTTCTCAATTCAAATGTATACGTTACCTTGGATTCCTATGACTTTTAATTTGAGAACAAACCTTTAATGCGAGGGTTCATAACTTTCTAAATATCTAATTTTGTATGCTTTAAGTTTTATCTACTATACTGTACTTCTTGCTTGTTCAAAGCTTGTCACTTTAATTCAATATTTCTTGAATTTCATTGTGTTTTAAGTATTTTTTTTAATTTACCTCTACAATTTCCAAAGATTTACATGTATCAAGATGAGATTGTTATGCATATAGCTCTCATTATAAAATAAAGTTGAAGTTTCCTAAGATCAATAAATAGAATCACTTTTTCCTCAGTTATGGGTGGAAAATACACGTCTATAGTGCTTACAGATTGATTTTCTATTACCTGTTATTCGGCAAAACCAGTAATCCCCAGCCCATTTACAGCACAAGATAAAAATAGCTTCCATTAAGATATCACCCTATTGAAACAAGTACCGCATCATATCTGGACACAGGACGAGAGCGTCTAGCGTTTAGTGTTACAGCAGAATGGGTATATCCGAACCCAACCCAACCCAACCCAAGATCTGGCCTGATAACTCACAGTAGGTTTGGACCTAAAGCAAATGCAAACATGTCAAAAACATCTACTGAGAAGCTATGAAATGAAATAGCTGGCTCAACAGTTTAATTAATCCACCGAGCTGGGTTATTAAAAAGCTGAGATGCAATACGGTTGAAGCAGGCTACAGATGATGTAATACATGACGTGCTGTTTTGTCACGGTCGTAAAACTTCAATACAGTATATAAGGGTGATTCAGAGTTTGCTTTGAGCAGTTACTGACGCCTCAGCCGGTGCTTGCACTGTTCATCATTTTGTAATATTAAGCTACAGCGCTCACGAGGTCAAATTCACCAGGGACAAAGGTAATGTAAGTTTTTAAAACGTATTTTCTATTCCTATTTCTATCTTATTTTAGTGAATATAAATATAGTGCACTTAAAGCTTTCTTTCTGTAGATATCTTAGTACTTTATTTACAATTTGATTTGAATACCCCGTCATCTGAGGGAGCCATCACTCGAAAGGACAGGATAATATGATAAAATGTTTACGTTTCCTGAATGTAACATAGTTTGTATCGATATTTTACATACGTGATGTACTTTCAGGAAAGATATTCACGTGTCTTTAATTCACAAATGTTTAATGAAGGAAATGGCTCAGAAGAACTGGCAGCTACCTGTACAACGAGGAATATTGCTTAAAATATAGCACAACCATGATCAAGTTCAAGAGAAAGAATGCCTTCTGTTCCTCATATTATATCACCATTGTAACTTTGACAAGAAATGTTTAACCAGATAATGTCAAGTGAGACCGAATTCACCACCCAGCAATGAATACATTTTTTACTGTACATCCATAATAAGGCATTAATAACACGTACGGTAAGAGACAGAATTGAGTTCTAAACTAAAACGTTCAGAAAACAACACGAACATTTGTTGTGAAGCTTCAATCGGTAACTCATTCAAACTCGAGTGTACAGTAGGTCGGCTTCTTTTTATTTTTGTCAAACTTGAAAAATGACGGCAACACTATTTGAATAACTGTACTTGTATAATGTCGTTTATTTCCTTTATTCGTGCGTGTCTATTACTTGTATTTTTGTTACATTTATTAAGTTACATTTATTAAAAAATTACATTTTTTAAAGATTTAAAATATTTGACAAGTACAGTACACAGATCCCTAAGTATATTAAAAGATGTCCGTATAGTCCGAAACAGTGTTTTGGCAAAGAAATTGAGAATGCCTAAGAAGAGACACTAAGGACAAAGTATGAGTATTGTACTCAAATCCTTTGCAGAAAGAAAAAAAAGAGACTTTCTGTCTTTATTCCTGATTAAATTTCAGAGGGCAGTTCCACCTATATTAGGAAGCACTGTTTACTTATTTGTCTATGCACTGTATATATTATGATATTAAATATTATTCTGTATTTATTATCAAAGTTTATTATGAACTTTGAAGTAATTTTGATGTATTGCCTACCTCCTTGTTTTATGCTTACGGGATAGGCTTATTTCAGGTGGGTGGTTGTGAACACTTTCTGATACTGGATGGATGAACTACAGTACTCATAGATAAAATGTATTTCATGTCTGCTACAATGAGTGTTTTCTAATCTGTGGATGATGACATAAAAAACACGTACCATATAGATTACAATGCACGCATGTGCTACAATTACATTACTGCAATGCACGTTAAAGCACCCTCCAAACTAACCAGCTTTCAATTCACAGCTAAAATGTCTGGTGACACTAAAGGAACAATGAACAACTTGGCCACTGAAATTTCAGAAAATGACAAAAATGGAGATATCAGGTAAATGCCTCCTGTATTAGTTTTATACTTTTACCATTCAAGTGTTTAAATGCTACAGTATTACAAGTTATAGGTTTTTTTATTTGCACTATGTATGTATAGTAATAACATGTTCAGGTGGGTAGCTGCGTCAGCATGCGTAGGCTGTAAAGGAACAAGTACTGTAATAGGTTTATTCCTGAAGGGACCTGAAGAAGGCTCCAGGGCCGAAACGTTGTGTTTCTTTCTTCTTTTTTTCAGCATGGAATAAACCTATTACGTGTTCCCTAGTAATAACATGTAGTATTAAGAGAAAAAAATAACACTATGATTAAAATATTTGATCTGTCTTGTCTGCCTCTTAAAATTGAAGAGGTTGTATTTGCTGATAGAATTGATTGATTTACCATTTGACTTACTGTTAATTTGCTGATTTATTTATTATTTGTAGTAAAAGTAAAGAAGAACAAAAAGCCCCCAAGATAGAGATGGTCAGTCCATTAACTCTGGTAAGCATTTTTTATTTTTGTCATTAATACTGTATGTAAAAATATTTTTGTGGATTATTTGGTTGTTTTATCAAATGATTCCATTCCTCTATGTAAGAGCTTGAGGAAGAAAGGAAATGGACTGGTTTAGGGGTGTTTTGATGTGAAGATGTGTGTGTGGGGAAGTTCTCTTATCGTAGGGGTGGACATTTTGAATCAGTTTTGCTCCATTACAGAACAATGTAAAGTAAAAAGTCCCTTCTGTGGTGACTATAAGATTTTGCATTTTGTAATTTTGCATTACATTATTCCTTGGAGTAGGTAATTCTGGAACAGGAAAGAAACACATTTATCAAGCTTTAAATGCTAGTTAAGCAAAATCTTGTATATATTGAATACAAACTAAAAATGCAGCTGGGCTCTGAATTGCAGCAAAACATAACTGCATTTCCCTTTTTATAATATTTCATTCCAAATCACAGCTATCTAATTACATCTTTATTTTAAACACTGTCCCTGAAAAATGAATTATTCTCTCCATATTGTGCCCTTGGAAACACAGAATTTCTTCTGCATGCACTGCGTTCAGGAGCCCATGTAAACTAGCAGGGAAGGAGAACACACAGCGCATTGTAGAATTACTCAGGGATTTGCTTAGGGTTGTTTAGCGCTCGTGAAGAACATGCCTAACCCTGTGACGTTCTCTCTCTCTGTCTGGTAGTTCCGTTTTGCTGACGGGACGGATGTTTTGCTCATGTTAATGGGCACGCTCATGGCGATGACCAATGGATCTGTGCTCCCTGCCATGTGTGTTATCTTTGGAGATATGACTGACAGCTTTGTGTCCGATTCCATGGCAAATGTTCCAAGTAAGCGGGAAGGACAACTGTGTCTGCTATTTAGCTGCATTGTATAAACAATGTTCAGATCTTGTGTTGTGTGTACAAACTTCTCTTTGTGCTAAACTAGGAAGAAGGAATTGATCAGTCATGGACAAAACAAAAACCTTGTATATGAAATATTACAGTATCTGTGGGTCACCTAATATTGATCTGTCTTGTGAATTTACTCACAAGCTGAAGGGAACACAAAGTAGAGCCATTTACAGATTTTGAAAATTAAAGGTATTTGAAGACCTCATGCCCCTGTCTCTATAAGATATCTGTCATTAATCCATCCCTCCCAGCAGCCCTCATTTTGCATCTCTGCACTCCCATCGTGGCTCTGTCAGCAACCTAATTGGCTCGCTCCATTAATTCCTGGGCAAAACGACTCTTGTCCAACAGCCAATCAGATTATAGCCAAACAGTGATCCAATCCCTGTGCATAACCAGCAAGCTTGCACTATTGAGCTCTCCACATGAAATGGTGTCTTTTATAAAACTGTTACATGTTAAAGCAAATAGTCAACTAATTCTGAAACTTCAGAGAAGGAAACAGGTTGATTTAGGGGCAGAAATATCAAATGTCACAATGTATATTAAGAGGCTAAGATAACAAACGCTTATTTTCACAAAATCCTATTGAAAGATAGAAAAATGTTGACGAATTTCCTTATACTGCTGCTGTTGAAGTTGCCTTTTGTGTTCTAAAAACTGCTAGAAGCTAATTTCTAAGTTGATATTCCTTGCTAATTTGTATGCTATCTCATAATTTGTCTGAGAGTGAACTCATGAAGCCTAACTGAAATATTTGTTTATTTTTAACCTTTCAAACATTGTTTCTTAAACCTAGACAGTAACTTCACTCCAGCAACTAATGAAACTTTGGGAGAGCAGTTGACAAGGTACAGATATTTTCTGAAAATTATAAATGTTAGACAATGTATTTGATAAGTATATCAAATTATTTTGTATATTTCATGATTGAGAATCAAGCCGGTCTCTCTTTTCCTGGATTTTATGTGAAAGCTTAGTTTTCAAAAGCCATTTTTTTATTTACAAATAAGGACTAAGAAATGGTCAAGAAAATGAAATCAATTTTTCATACTATATCAATAGCAGGACACAACAGCAAATAACATGGGTAAAAGTTAAAATCCATCGTTGTGATAAATTCAGGTTGCTGCTTGCTTTTCTGTAAAATGTGGATTCGAAAGACATCTTTCCCCTGCTGACAACAGCTGAAACTAATTGAGAGAAGTTAAGACTGTACCTGGAAAGTTAGAAATCAATAAAAAATTACAGATTTAGAGTAAAGCGAGCTAAACAAGATTCTCTTCAGCCTCATTGTCAATCTCGATGTCAGTCAACTACCATGCAGAAAGCTCCTGGTAGCTAACAGAAGCCCTAAATCTGAAATAAATCCCTTCTGTCCCATATTAAGATCTTTTGTTTAACAGGAATGGATCAAATAATTGTAAAATTGATTTTGTGTTTCTTATTACTTGAATTGTGAATTGTGAGCCCATTTTAGCAATGATGCTCGTCTCCTTTTCAGGTACGCAATATACTATTCGGCTCTGGGGGCAGGAGTCCTCCTTGCTGCCTATTTACAGATTGCGTGCTGGACCATCGCTGCAGGACGGCAAGTGAAAAGACTGAGGAAGAGGTTTTTCCATGCGATTGTGCGGCAGGAAATTGGCTGGTTTGACATGAATGAGACTGGCCAGCTGAACACTCGCCTGACTGAGTAAGTGCCTGCCTTGTGATGTTTTTTCTGCACTGGTTAACTGTGTCATTTCACTTCCTGTGGAACATCTAATGAAAGAAACGCGTAACCTCTGAGACTGAGGAAGCGGTGATATTATCATCTAGATAATTCATTCCCATCTGCATATATTTATGTACAAATAATCCGGTGAGTGGGTTGTATGTATGACATAGTAATAAAAATACACTTATCAAGAAACTCTATGCTCTGTACAACACCACACACAATACACATAACAGAAGTTTAAAAATAAAGAGAAAATAATTACAGCAAATTGACCTATTAAAACCAAGAGTAAAGCTACGTTATACATCCAAAGCCTAGGTAAACAGATTTTAAAGCATTTTTGAAGCATTGAAGCTTTTTAAGCATTATTAAAAAATATTGACACGGCCTGTTTTAAATGAAAACAATGTCTCTTTGATCTATTGAAACTATTGAAATAATACAATTTCAGGAAAGACCACAAAACACCAAAGGTCCTGTTGACCTACCACTTAAAAAAATACCAGTTCCAAACTGCATAAAGATGTAAATGTTATTACTCTGCCTGATTTGTTTATATCCCTATTATCCCATATTTCTTCACAGCGATATTTACAAGGTAAATGAAGGAATTGGCGATAAAGTGGCCTTGCTAATTCAGTCAGTCACCACCTTCATAGCAGGGTTCATAGTTGGCTTCATAACAGGCTGGAAGTTGACTTTGGTAATACTGGCAGTCAGTCCACTCCTGGGAATCTCAGCTGCTCTGTTCTCCAAGGTGAGCCATTCAAACGTGTCATTTACCGAACAGCAGAAACAAACATACTTTATTGACTCATTACTACACTGTAGAGGCAGTGGCACATCCTGACTGTGGAGGGGGTTGAGTTGGCCCTATAGCTTCTGGTGGGGTGTTTTCCTTACCTCAAAGCTGTTTGTATGGCTTTTCATCCCCAAGGGTCCCAAAGCGCTTTACATATAGGAGTATCCTACATCATCCACTACTGAGCCTGGGAGACTCCCTACCCAGGTCACGTGTGGGGGTCATCATACACTACAGATCAGGTGGAGATGTGAAAATCCCAATACATTGCATGCATGTGAACACTGCATCCATCAGTCCGTCGTGGTCTGCTTGTGGTTGTGTTTTTCCCTCCTGCAGGACAGTGACATGTCAGCAAGATCTAGGTGGATGTGTTGGTCAGTGAGGTCATTGTATTGAGGGACGAAAACTGCCAAGTCGCAGAGATTCCTCAACCTTCCTCTCATAAATTCAGATCCATTTCATCTGCTTATGCAGAGCATGGCATGACATTTCATGTAAAAGTCAATATGGACTTGTTGTTCTGTGAATGCATAATTTCCCCATATTTTGGTCAAACTGTGTAAAAAGGTGTTGATGTCTAGCAGTGCAACTGTAACGCGTGCTCTGCTGTCCTGACAATACAAACTGGGTTTAGGCTTTGATTAGCATTTAAATATAAGATAGCAGTAAAGTACTGGACTTTTTGTGCCAAAAATCTTTAGTACACTTTTGTTTGAACAACTGTAATGCATGATTCATCTGCTCATGGCAGGACTGGAACTGTAAGAAACCAAGCAGACATTGATAAGAAGGAGGGAGAAGACTTTTGTGCTCTTTACACCATTTTAATTTTCCTAAATAATTAGTTAATTAGTACATTAAATTAGCTCATTAAAATCTTAAAAATCAAAGAAGGGAAATAAATGTAAAGCCTAAAGAGAAATTATTATACAGTAAGTAAAACTGAGTAATCTGAGTTCAGTGATGGGGTTTCTTTCAGCATCATGACCAAGGTTTGCAGACAAGCAGGGAATCCGAGTTACTGGAAATTACTGTTTCTGCAGGTCATGACTTCATTTACTTCCAAAGAGCAAACAGCCTACGCCAAAGCAGGAGCAGTGGCAGAGGAGGTGCTGTCAGCCATCAGGACTGTAATAGCCTTTGGTGGACAAAAGAAGGAGATAAACAGGTACGGGTTACTGAAATAACCTCTGTATTGCACTTCTGATGCTTTGTTACAATGGGGAGTAAATTGCACTGTTTGGAAGAACAGTCATGTAATTACTCTTATATATTAGGAAGTCGTATCTCCCTTGTTAGGTTCAGTGCTCAGCTTGTTTTTTCTTTCACCTTGCTTGAAGTCCTTATCCATTATTATCAATGTAAATGTAGCTTCCTTGAAGAAGACTGTATTAAATTGACCTATTTGGTTCTCCAATATTAAACCTTGTAAGGGGCACCAATGTTGAAATGTTTCAGTTTTCCGTTTAGAAATAAGCCGGTTATCCCATGGGTTTCTGATTGATCCCATCCCTCATCCACATCAGATTAGCTTTTAACTTGAAAGCCTCAAGCCTCCTATCCTGTGTGCAGGTATCACAAAAATTTAATCGATGCTAAGAATGTTGGGATCAAGAAAGCGATCACTTCCAATATTGCAATGGGCTTCACTTTCCTGATGATCTATCTGTCATACGCCCTGGCATTCTGGTACGGAAGCACTCTGATTCTAGCTGATGAGTACACCATTGGAAAAGTCCTTACGGTGAGTGGGTTGCTTTACTTGAGAACTGTTTTGTAGTAATATTTCAGTATCTCTGGGTAGCAGCAGTGGTTATAGAAGAGCTCAAGAGAAAGTGTGGCTTTTCTCAGGCCTGGATCATGTATTTTATTAAGATGTGAATGAGACTAACAAAAAGACCAGTTCAGATTGTATTTATTGTGCTTTTTATTATTGATCCTTTTCCTCTCAGCTTTTGGCACTATCAAGATTCCCAGTAAAAAGAATGTTAATTGTAGTTTCAGTGTTGTCATGGTATAAATGGCAAATTATAAATAAATGAGTCTTTTTACTGTGAGAGAATATCCTGTTTTTTAGGTGAAAACAAGATAATCATGACTACATTAAAACAGTTCATTAGTGTGGTTAGCTAGCTCTCCAACTCTCCTAAAAAGATTGTATTTTTTTATTATTCTTATTCTACAAGGTGATTCCAGGTATTTTTTACCCATTTTTCCAACTAGAAACAAAAGACTAGGATTTGTCTGATTTGTGTTATTTTGCAAAGAATGCTTGTGAGGGTCCTGCTTTGATGTGAAGAGACATACATGGAGTGAGGAAGTTCAAACCCTTTGATCGCACAAGATTCTATCTAAAAACATACAGCTGCTATGATGCTTCAAGACAAGAGCTGCATCTAGCCAATTTGGGAAGGTCAGCTCTGTAGAAAGTTCATGAAACACTGTCGGGGAAAATAGCCCGAAGGACACTTGGCAGTGGGAGACTCTTTTGATATTTCGGTTATTGTTCTGCCAGTGAAAACAAATATTTTCAGTAGTTCGGTCAAAGGCAGTGAGGAGTTGTGATTTGAATACTGAGCTTTACTGGGGCAGCTCTCTTGGCTGAGAAAAAAGCAACATCCTGTCTGTAAGGAAGGGACTGTCAGAACCCCCCACCTTTAATACAGTGTTGAGCCTGGGGGTGAAGATGGGGTGAAGTGAGGCTGCAAGTGAGCAGCAAAGCAACAGGAGTGAGAATTAAACATAAACTGGAGGAAAAGGGTGAGAAAAGGGCTTGACCTCCTCCCATACCTTGATTTTAAACTCCATATTCTATGTACTTTTACCGCAGTCATTTTCCTGTTTTGAGTTCAAATTTCACATCAGGAAGAGAAATTGAGTATCCATATTTTTTTTCTTCAGGTTTTCTTTTCTGTAATCATCGGTGCCTTTGCATTAGGCCAGACGTCACCAAATATCCAAGCATTTGCGAGTGCCCGTGGAGCAGCTCACAAGGTCTTCAGCATCATCGACCACGTGCGTCCCATCCCTTTGCACTTTCGTTTGTTCTAAGCATACTGCACTTCAGAGCTGGGAAACAACCGCTCTTATTTATTATGGATCATTTATTCGGCTGATGCTTTTGTGCAAAGTGACGTACATTTGCATGAAATTTAAATGAACCAATCTGAGTGAAGGAGCCTTTGGGTTTTATTGTTCTGGTAAAATGCCAGCTGTATAAAAATAGATATTTACTGGGAAGTACCAATAAAGTGGGTGGCATAGTGTAATGGGTAGCCTCTCGACTCATAACTGCAAGGGTAAGGGTTCCAGGCCCTGCTGCAGACACAATTTTTGTACATTGAGTGATGTACCCCAGTTTCTTCAGTCCACCCAGCTGTAGAAATGGGGAACAGCAGGGGTTAAGATAGGATAAGATTGCTTTATTGGCCATATACAATTTCTTGTACCAGGAATTTGTCTTTTCAAATATCTCAACCTGCTCTCCATGAGACACACAGACAGGGAGAGAAGCTTGGGGTCAGAGCGCAGGGTCGGCTATTTATAGGGCACCCCTGGAGCAGTTGGGGTTAAGGGCCTTGCTCAAGGGCCCAACGGAGCAGGATTGCTCTGCCGGCCACAGGATACGGACCAGCAACCTTCCAGCCACAGGCGCAGATCGTTAGACACAGAGCCACAGCACCTCCCTATCCCCACGGTTAGGGCTTGGAATGGACTAGCAACCTATCCAGGAAATCAAAACCACGATGATATCTGTCTCTATGAGTTATTGTGTGTTCTGGCCTGGACATTCCCATTTTAACATTTTTAATCCTTATAGATTTATTTTTTAATCGACAGGATTAGATTTGTGATTTTCAAAGATTGTAGTGATTCTCAGTATATTCGTTTCTTTAAAGTGCTGACTGAAATTGAACATCATCCTAAAAATTCCTAGCAGACTTCCTTGTCGTGTATATGGAGAGGGAGCCCCTCCAGTGGTGCATTTTGTCTTTTGGAGACTGAAGTACTCAGGAAAGCCCACAAACAAAAGGTCTTTTAAAGACTAAAGCAAACTAAATAAGCTAAAACTAAACATAACTTCAAGGAACACAAACCCAACACCAGAACTTTCCTTAAAGAAAATAATCCACTAGATGAGAGATTTTCCGGTCATTGTTAAAAAAAAGGGAATTATTTTGCTTGTATTTGAGATCAGGGTTTATATGAACTCGTTTAAGCCTAAAGTCACATCACCGTACATTCTTATACAATGTGTTTTTTTAATTAGTCTTTTGTCAAATAACCAAAAATACAATAATAGTAATTGTCTTCCCAAATAACAAACATGTTTCAAGCATTTTTATATCAAACTCCCATTAACCTCAAAGTGTTTGTGTACTTCCTGCTTTTGTCATTTCAGCAATGTAAGAAACCATAGCCATAATGAGGAAAGTGTGAAAATCAAGCAGGTTTCTCCTTTGTTACGATAAAATCTGCTACTATTTTTTCTAAAAGTGTGAAAATCACTGGAAATTGAATTTATTGTTGAGTCTTACTATCCCCCAGGTAATTTTGCTGGAATCTTTTATTAAATAAGCAAATCATGCTTCAGAATTACTAAAGTGTTTTCATCTATGTTCCCAGGACCCAAAAATCGATAGCTTTTCAGGTGAAGGCTACAAACCAGATACAATCAAGGGGAATATTGAATTCCACAACATACATTTCAGCTATCCCTCACGTCCACGTGTTAAAGTAAGTGTTACTTCCTTCCGTCCACCTATTGTACGTACATGTCCAATAATCAAGACATAGCTCGGACTGCCTCTTGCTGGAATTATGAAGGTAATATTACAAAGTTCTACACAGAAAATAGAGGAAAATGTCACTGCTGGGAAAGGGTTTAGAATTATTTTTCTGTGAGGGTGTGAGATCATTCATTCTGCTTATATCACAGAGGGCTGCCTTGCACAAACAGCAGGGAGATCTCCTGCAAATACAGGCACAAGGCCGTCTCCTCTGTGCTCTCGCATCTGTCGGCTGCAGCCTGACCTGCGCTGTTCGGCTCTTTTGCAGGTATTGAAAGGCATGAACCTGCGAGTGGGCAGCGGGCAGACTATAGCTCTTGTTGGCAGCAGTGGCTGTGGCAAGAGCACCACTGTGCAGCTCCTGCAGAGGTTCTACGACCCTGAAGAGGGAGTGGTAAGTGCATCAAGCGGGCTCCGCAGGGCAAGACCCTGTGGCTAACAGAGAAGACAATCACACCTCGATCATGGTCCCAAACTCCATTCTCTTACACAGGTCACAAAGGCCAAAGCTGTCTACATTTAAACCTGCTGCAGTTTACATCTGCAAGGCATGATACATGTAATGATGGATCTTACACAAAGTCAAACAAAGGAAACGAATGTACAGTACTAATGTACAGAACATGCCTGGACAATCCATGGTATTTGATATCTTGAAACAGTGGTCTTTCGAGATGGAGTTTCTTGGTGAATCCTTGGTATTCATCATAGCATTTTAATTGATAAACACAAAGTTAAATGTTTAATATGGAAAATACAAAGTTTAATTCCTAACATGCTTGTGCATTGTTCACTCCGAGAAAGTGTCGAAGCTCTGTTAATTAAAACTGAGTTGCATGTATGTTTTGCCAGTCACAGTCTTTTCCAATTGACATCTAAATCCTATACGAACAGAAGTGTTGGCAATACAAGGGTAATCATTGTGTGGAAGTGAGAGGTGCAGAACACCTGTAGAATGAGGCACAGCTGGTCTGACTGAGTAATTAGCATACAGATGTAGTGGAATTAGCACTCTCCCAGACCCATCTCTCACTACCTCGCAGTTTGTTTTTTAACCAGTAGTTAAAAACAAGTTTGACAGTTTGAGTGGAAGATCTATGCTGCAGCTCTGCTGGTGTTAGAGTGAGGAAACATGCTCTTGCACAGCACCCAAGAAACTGAAGGTCCACTGACAAGGCTCACTTCAGTTGATTTTTTTATGTGAGGATCCTGTCATATACTATAATACAGCACATTGCAGCATTCTACAGATACTTTCCAGCTGTTAAACTGAAATAAGAAGGAGAAGCAGAGATAACCACAGGTCATAATAAAGTGTTCAAACTCCAGAAAGACCAGACGAGTTAGCTCACTCTCTCTACCATTTCTTCTAACCACAAATCGGCACACTCAATGTTATGCTTTGTAACCAGGTAACGATTGATGGACAAGACATCCGATCCCTGAATGTCCGAAGCCTCAGGGAATTTATCGGAGTTGTGAGTCAAGAGCCAGTTCTTTTTGCGACCACCATCGCGGAAAACATCCGATACGGAAGAGAGGACGTGACCCAGGAGGAGATCCAAACTGCTGCCAAGGAAGCTAATGCTTACAATTTCATCATGGACCTCCCAAATGTAAGTGTGTTTACACACTGAGAAAAAAGGAGTCTCTAAGAATAAAGACTCATTCTGGAATGGTATCTAACTGTATTTGCTTTTCCTTCAGACTGAGGTTTTGAAAACTCTGAAAACTCAAAGCTTACAGCATATCATATATCATAAAGCACAAAAAACTAATAATTTTCAAATTGTTTCCTAAATTAAACAAAAGATAGTGTCACTCACCTTAGTTTTCATTAAAACATTATCATACTCATTGCTAGCTTTAATCAATTCCAAACAAGAAGAACTATGATAACTATGAAAAGAACTATGATAAGAGTTAAGGTGAATTTTACCAAACAAATCCTCCTTTGAACCCCTTTGTGTCCAGCAGTATGTGACCATGCCTGCATAAATAAAAAAAATACCTCTTTCTCTGTGCAGAAATTTGAAACCCTGGTTGGTGACAGAGGCACTCAGCTCAGTGGAGGACAGAAGCAGAGAATTGCTATTGCCCGCGCTCTGGTCCGCAATCCGAAGATTCTCCTTTTGGATGAAGCCACATCAGCCCTGGATGCAGAGAGTGAGACAATCGTACAGGCAGCTTTGGATAAGGTAATCAGGCCACGCAGAGAGATTCTTCACATGCAGAGAACGCATATGATAATGCTGGTTTATGTGTGATCAACAAGCTTGTGAAAGCCTTCTGAACAATTATGGTTGAACATCATGATCAGCAGAGGCTAATTAACTGTGATTAATGTGGCAGCAGTTCTGTTCATTTCTTAGCTAAGCCTGGAGTCAGGTTTAGAAGTCTGCTTCTTAAAATAAAATATTCTAAACATTAACCACCGGACTTCAGAAAAAGAAGTTGTGATTAAGACTTTTTTTCTCTATTACATATTGCAGTATTCTGTGAAACAAAATGATCAGGCACATGTGCCCGACTAGGGGTCATTTCCTTTAACCAATGGCTGAACCCCTTCAGAAGAACAAAGAAAGTCCACTGAGATTCTACATTATCTCCTCACTGTATTGCTGGGATGGCAGCACGTCTGGACCTCATGACAATGCAAACGCTCTTTCCTCTCGTTTCTTGCAGGTGAGACTGGGACGGACAACGATAATAGTGGCCCATCGGCTGTCAACAATTCGCAATGCAGATATCATTGCCGGCTTTGAGAATGGAGTGATCGTAGAGCAGGGCTCACACAAGGAGCTGATGGACAGAAAAGGGGTGTACCACTCACTTGTCACTATGCAAGTAAGTACAGACATGGTTAGAGAACGTGTCAAAAATGGATGTGTGTGAGAGATATATTGTACTGTGATATATGTTATCACAGCAGATGCATGTTAGTCACTACTTACAACTGCTTGACTTTGAATAAATAAAACACAGAGGCTACATTGTTTTTCCTTCAGAAGGATGTTTTTATATGTAAACGTTATAAATAAACAACAGGGGACATGGCCAGTGAAAACTCCAAGTTTACATCATATCATATATTATAAAGCATAAAAAATAATCATTAAGGCTTTAACATTCTCATTGCTAGTTTTAATAAAATCCAAACAAGAACAATGATAATAGTTTAGGCTAATAAAAATGCTCTTTTTTAATTAAAAAAAAACTTTTGTAAAGGTTAATAACTGCTGGGAAACCCTGGTAGTAAATGCTAAAGGAATGCTTCCTTTGATAGCAGCCTTATGAGTCTTATAGAAGCAAGCATTCACCTTGATTCTGCAATCTTAGGTCACTGCTCACTGATAATGGACTAGTCAGCCTCTTTGCAGGTGGCAAAAACCCAGATTCAGAGTTGAAAGGCTTTTTCTACTGTCTGAACTTTCAAGGCCACAAAGGGCTGATTAACTCATTTACTAATATAGCTTTAAGATATGCCAGCATGAAGGAGTCTTTGCATAAAAAATGTGCTCTTACTTCTCTTTATTTTAAACTTTTGAACTTAAAAGTGTTTGATTGGCCCCTGGCGCTTTTGGCTCTGTCACAATTAAACTGAACTCTCTGATTTTTCTTTTAGTCATTCAAGAGCAATGAAGAGGGAGAAGATGCAGCAGAGGAGGAGATAGTTAAAGAGAAGAGTCCATCGTTAGTGTCACTAACAGAAACATCCCTGTTCAGAACAAAATCAGCCAAGATGACCTCCAAAGAAACTGGAGAGGAACAGGAGAGCAAAGATTCTGTAAGACAATCTGCCAAACTTCACCTGTAGATTTAATCTTAAATCATAATATCTCAGGTGTGATCTTCTCTGTACTTCTTAATGGTGTTATTGCTGGTGTTAGAACCACTTCTTTTAATAACTGGAGCGATACATATTTAAAAAATGTGAAATTCTAAATTTAAATGCAACTTTAGCAATGACAAAAGACAATGCCTGAAATTGAAATTGGCACATTGGGTCAGAACAATTAGTGGGCAGTGCTATTTTGAATGATGAAAATCTAGGTCTGTGCACACAGTCTTATTTTTTATTTTAAAGAAAAACATGGCATCAAACTGAGCATTTCTGTAAATATGCAATAGATTTAAAAAATCTATGGAATGGGTTGTTTTTTTAGTTCATTTCTATTTGCACTTTTTAAAACTTTTTTTAAGATGTTTGGTGCCTGTAGGATTTATTATCATTACATTATGTTGTTTTGTCTTTCCTAGGATGATACAGTCCCAGATGTGTCCTTTTTAAAAGTCCTCAGACTCAACTTGCCAGAGTGGCCCTACATTGTTGTAGGTATCCTCTGTGCTATTGTCAATGGAGGGCTTCAGCCAGCTTTTGCTGTTATTTTTTCCAAAATCATTGCGGTAAGTTCAAGTCATATTCGTTAAGTAATATACTGTATAAGGTAACTGATGTTCAAGAGCTGCTCAGCCATTCTTTCCAAATTCAAGTGTTTCTGACAATAGTGCAGATACTGTTTCATTAGCACACTTTAAAAACACCATAAAAGCACTTACCAACCAGATCAGTGGCACTATCTAATCAAACTGAATGAATAAACATGATAAAGATTTATTTCTATCAAGAAAAATGATGTAATCTTCTTTTAAACAAAAATGTCATCTTCTTTTAGGTGTTTGCTGAAGTTAACGAGGAGGTCATCAGAGAGAGATCCACGCTGTTCTGCTTGATGTTTGTTGTAATAGGAGTGGTATCATTTTTCACCTTGTTTTTTCAGGTAAGTTCTCAATGTTTTCGTAAAGATGTATTCTGTACTACAACAAATAGGGAGCAGCTGATTAGACAGTTTTCTCTGTCAAGCATTATCTCTATTTTGATTTATACTGACTTCATATTCAGCATTGAATGGCACAAAGCATGAACTGCAGAGACCTCATTAATCAATTTAATACTGTATACAATCTGAATATCTGAATATAAAGTTCTTTTGGAAATTCCATGTTTAGGATTTGGGAAGAGAAACTGGTGAGGACTTCATTATTCAGGGACTCTGTAAATTATTGTGGGATGAAGGTGCCTGAAGAGATTCTTCAAAAGACCTTAGTACTTACTGTACACATGACACTGGGAAATAATTGAAAATCTGTGACACTGTGTATCAGGGTCACTCTTTGTAATAACAAAACAACAACTAAGTCAGATATGTTCAGTCAGGTTCTTTGTATCTTTTAACATTTTATGGTTACTGTTATTTTTAAATTGTGTAGAAAAGACGTGATTTTATGCGGCAACGATGTTTCAACTCACGAGATTCAGTCAATAATTTATGGAAGAAACCCAATATTTGAAATGTATTTGAGCCTAAACAACTATATAAAAGTTAGAACTTTAACTTTCCTCATTTGGAACTACGTAGCAAAAAAAGAAGCTAGCAAAAATAGCATGAATAGTTGGAGTAGAATCTGGTTATCAGCATTACAGATACGACTCTATTGCGGCACAATGCATGAAAAAGACACCTTGCCCCTTAAAAATAATTAAATTGCTAATCTAAGCTTTAGGTGTATTCTATACTGTTTTTTCTGAGTCTTGTTATAGTTGCTGAAAAGTGTCTTCTTCTTCCCAAGGGATACAGTTTTGGAAAAGCTGGAGAAATTCTCACCATGAGGCTGCGATTAATGGCTTTTAAAGCAATGCTGCGACAGGTATAATTTGATTTAAATTATTGGTTGTTTTTCCTTCCTTTAGTAGTTAAAAAAATTGTAAATGTTTTTTTTTTCATGAAAAGGGTAATTCCCTGGATATGAATATATTTATTCTTATTACTTTTTGACTATTTGACTTTTTGTTTATTAGTTAGTAGCTAATTAATCTGAGGACCTCATCCAGCTGTTTCTTGAAAAAAAACAGGGTATTGGTTTCGGCAGTATGACTGGGCAGCTTGTTCCATACACATCACAACTTCTTAGGCAAAGAAGTGCCTCCGCCTTTTCAGTTTTAAGTGCACTTCCATCAAGCTGGAAGTATAACTTTGGATTAAGAGCTTCTCAAATATTCTTTTAGTGCCTTTTTGTACATGTTACAGTGACAAAGACCACTGATGACTTAAGAATATTTACAGTAGTCATTCGGTAAAGTCTACATAATTCTATGTACCTGTTTCTGTTGGCTGTAAACCCCCGTCTTCTTCAGAGATATAAATTAACCAGAAACATTACATTATGCTGACTGCTTTCTACTAATTTGTAATGAATTGCCCAGCACATACTTTTGCAACTCTTAAACTGAGTGCCTCTTGATAATAAAATGTACTGTAGTCCTTTGAAGTGCATTGATTCATCATCTAGTCATTTTATTACCTTATAGGTACAGTAAGTGCAAATACAGTAGAGAGGTACTGTACAGTAGTACCTCTCCACTCAATTTATTTTTGGAGGGGATACTAGCAAAAGGTGTTTGAAAAGTGAAATTTTCATTGAAACACAATAAACATGTTGGTTATTTCACAGAAGGAAATATAAAGGCAACTGTACAAATGTTGGTTTGAAATAAAAAGTCTCAAATTATCCTTAGTTCTTGTATTAGGCATGTTTAGATAAGAAGTGGTTCTTTTATTTGATTTCAACCTAAAAGACTGAACTATAAATGTGTCCTTACCACAGGATGCACATTATGTGTATTTTTTGGAACCAGCTCTATGATTGCGTAAATACCACTGATTACATACTCATGATAATCCTAAGAATAAATATAATATGTATAATATATATTCATATTCAATATTAGATATTCCAGTAGTCTAATATTGTAATTTAGATATTTCAATATTCTTTTCTAATATTAACAAAGCTTTGGAAAAGATCAAATAATAGAAATAAGCATTAAAGTAGCAAATAACCATGAATGGAGGTTCTATTGTCTTCATACAAATTCAACTGAGTGCGCTCTGACCCACAGAGCATGAGAATCTGTCAGATCTAAGCAGATACTCATGGTTTTCTGTGACCAAAAGAGAATTTTAAAATCAGTCGGAAAGTTAACAGGCAACCAGAGTAACAAAGCCATAAGTGGAGTTATATGACCCTAGGAATTTGATTTAATCAAGATCGAAGCCGTTGGAAGTTTGTTTTCTGAAATCTGTGCAATCCTTATGTGTTTAAAGATAAAAACGTGGCTAAGGTTTTGTATTCATTATTTTTCTTTCTCCAGGACCTGGGCTGGTTTGATGACTCGAAGAACAGCGTAGGAGCTCTGACCACTAGGCTTGCCACTGATGCTGCTCAAGTGCAGGGTGTAAGTGTCACAGCGAAATTCACCTGCTGACAGCTGTGCGCTTGTAATATTGAAGTCATTGTATTGTAGCCTGTACGCTGCCAAGACCATACCATGACATCATCAGTGACGTAATCGATGATGTGACTCATGTGGTTCTTTGTCTCTCGGGATGATGGCTGCAGACAGGATGAATCAAGGTTGCGTGTATAGCCTGCCATCAAGACAAAGTGAAAGGCCAAGAGAAAATGACTGTCATGTAATTCAAATTTATGATCATGCTAACTGCACAAGATTTGTTAGCTAACATATGAACAATTGTTCTTGAGAAATTGTTATTATTCATGTTCATGTAATATTTATTGTTCATATGTGCTATAGAGATCATGCATGCAATTTTTTGGCACAACTGATAAATTCTTCTTATTGTGGCATATACTTAGCAATTCCTGGTGCCAGGCTATTAACGTACACCAGGAAAGTACCTGAACTCAACTGGTCTTTTTCCAGATACTGTACAAGGACTTGAAAGAATCTGAGAGTTTTGCTACATGTTTGTAAATGGGAATTAAGTGACGCTCTTATGATTTTTTGCCTCAGAGCAGAAAGCTTTAGAGCTAATCATAATCGTATAGTAAGGGATGGATGTATTGTGCTTCGGGTTTTCCATTTCATTTAAAAGTTGTGGCAGTAAGATGATTTTGTCATGACAGGCGACGGGAGTGCGGATGGCCACCCTTGCCCAGAACGTTGCCAATCTGGGCACTTCTGTCATCATTGCGTTTGTGTACGGCTGGCAGCTCACACTGCTGATCCTGGCGATTGTGCCGCTGATGGTGATAGCCGGAACTATAGAAATAAAGATGCTGGCTGGGCATGCTGCAAAGGACAAGAAGGAACTGGAGGCTGCTGGGAAGGTGAGCCTTACAGTACTTAACAGACTCGGCTTTATACAGGGGTTTTAGAATTGTACTCAGAGGTCAACTGTTCTATAGTAATTCCTCTTATTTGTGTATAGTAAGTCCTCTTACTGTATAGCAGGATAATACATTTGTGCTTTAATATATTGTCCTGCTGCCTTGGTAATCTTCAGAGATAGTCCACGCGTGATCATCTTTAAAGTATATAATACTATACAAGGTTGCCATGGTGCCGCAGTGGGTAGCATTGCTGCCTGGCAGTGCCGGGGCCCTGGAGTTCAGTTCTGGACCTGGGGTGTTATCTGTGTGGAGTTTGTATGTTCTCCTGATGGGATTCCTCTGGGAGCTCTGGTTTCCTCCTACAATCCAAAAACATACTGGCAGGTCAATTGGCTTCTGGGAACATTGGCCCTGGTGTGACTGTGTGCCCTGCGAAGGACTGGCCTCCCTCTCAGGGTGTACCCTTGCTTGCTGGGATAGGCTCCATTTCCCCCGCGCCCCTGGAGTTAGAAAATGGACGGATGGATTTGTGTTTCATTGTTGTCTCTGACAGATTGCCACAGAAGCTATAGAAAACATCCGAACAGTGGTTTCACTAACAAGAGAAAGGAAGTTTGAGGCTCTCTACCAGGAAAACCTGATGGTGCCATACAGGTACTGTACATATATAGTTCTAACAAAAGACTTTAGAGCTACTGTTTGTAATTACGTTTATGATATAATATCATACATCAAAACACTATTATAAGTCAAAACACCTAATATGATCTGTTTACTAAAATACTTTTTATTTTATTTTTAGGAATGCTAAAAAGAAGGCTCACATCTATGGACTAACCTACGCATTTTCTCAAGCTGTTATTTACTTTGCGTATGCTGGCTGCTTCCGGTTTGGAGCTTTCTTAATAGAAAATGAAAACATGACTTTTGAAAACGTTTTCCTGTAAGTATTAACAGTAATACTGGTTAGATACACATTTCCTGCTCATTTATGTAGGTTCAGCTATGAGCATTTATATATAATCATATATAAAATTATAGTATTATAATATATATATGAATGTCACCATCTTACGTAACAGAAGGCAGGAAATATTGAAATTAAAAGAATAATTCTGTTTTAAGTTCAAGTATATTGTTCAAGGACATGGGTTCAAGGTAGTAAATTTGAAAACATTTGGATGTAGAAAGCATGCAAGGTGATAATTGTGTTTCTAGCGAAGGACATATTTTGAGGATCTCTGGATTTTTGGTAGCAAGTCAACATAGTGTGATGAGAATAGGTCTAATAAAACATCTTGCTCAGTACAATAATGGTTAATAATTAAAATCTCTTTTGTCGACATCAGCTATCTTAGTAAAACTATACTATGGCTGTGGCTTCACTGTCATTGGAGTTTGTAGTCTTTGTAGATAGAAATGTCGGAGCAAAGGTTCAGAATCTCACCATGGAAAAAGTTAATCATTAGACCAAGAGAGACCATGCAGACCATAACTACAGAGAGAACAAATATACTTAGGATAAAAGCAATATGCTGACTGTCATGAGCAGTATCACAGTGAGACGTAAAAGGTCTTGTCGAAATGCACAGTAAAAAAAACAATTTCAGCTGTAAGTCAAATGTTTATCTTCAAAGATGACATGTGTCAGGTTTTGACTCAAGTGCTATAAATTCTCTTCGAGCAACTTCAAAATGTTTCTTCTGATATACCCCTTAACTCAAGTTGCATTTTTACTCTGAAAGTGGAGAACGTACTGTACAGTACGTTTGTCATCAAAGACAGGAAAAACACTGTTTGTTGTTCCCATTGCTGTCAAAGCCCCTACAGCATTGCCACTGTGAATCAAAACTCTGGGGTGACAGCACACAGAGGCCAGGGCTGTGAAGTCATGGCAAGATCAGGCCAACAGAAATTTCTGTTCTGCGTTCCACTGAGTAGAGGATGTCATTTTGTACCGTAGCAAGTCGACAGTGAGAGCAGAGTCTGTGGATGATTGAGTGTTGCATTGCCGATTTAGAAACCCAACACTGCCAGTCAACACGGTGTTTGCCTTTTCAGTGTCGTTTCGGCTGTTTTGTACGGGGCGCTGGCGTTGGGGGAGGCCAACTCATTTGCCCCCAACTACGCCAAGGCCAAGACATCAGCCGCTCATCTCTTCCAGCTGCTGAACCTAGTTCCCGTCATCGACAACGACTGTGAGGACGGAGAGAAGCTGGTAGGCCGAGTTCATGTGGAAGACACAGAGTGCGGGGCAGTGCTGGGGATGTTGATGCCTAGCTCAGACCTTGCACTGCTCATATAAATAAACAGAGGCATGGATGGGCACTATTTGTCAGCTGCTTCTAAAATGAGCTAATTGAATTGAACCTCTTCTGAAGTGCAATCGACAGGCAGCTTGTATTTCACAGCTCATCCCTGATGTAGCATTACACTGACATGGCCCCATTCCTCATTCTTCTATTGATCCTGGGAAAAGAGCGGAGCTGATGTGACAACTGGCCTTGCTTTTTAAATAGGGGGCAGGGCTCCAGTCCTGAAATAGCAAATCCCTTCAGGAAAGCACGCTTTTTAAGAGGTGCCTTTATTGTGCTTAGAATAATGACACCTTCAATTGCAATTGCTCACAATTGTCCTGAGAAATGAAAAGAGGTGCAGAATGCCGTCATGCTGAACTTTGCATGATGATGATGATAATAATTCCTTATGCTTATTTATATAGCGCTTTTCTGGACACTCCACTCAAAGCGCTTTACAGGTAATGGGGACTCTCCTCCATCACCACCAGTGTGCAGCCCCACCTGGATGATGGGACGGCAGCCATAGTGCATCAGTACGCT